TCGAGACAACAATGTCCTAGGGGGTCCGGGGGCATGCCCCCGCGAAATTTGTGTGTTCTAGACGCCCGAAAATAACATTTGAGGCGTTGTGGGCTATCATTTTTTTTTCCCTTCTTTTTTTCCCCTTTTTTTTTACCTCCGAAAAGGGGGGGGGGCGGGTATTTGGTTCTTTGAAGTGCACACTAGCCGATTGTGTACATTGGGCCTACGGTTTGAAGTCCTTATTATCCGAGAAGACTTCTCGAGAACCGGCATAGGCGAGCGTGCCGTTCGAACCAGCAATGACTATGGCTGCTAGCTGCAGGTTGCGGCGCTGTCATTCAATTCGCCTAATGGTATTTTGTGTCTAATATAATATCTATAATTAAAAACTAGACCAGCACTAAGTGTTGTCTTTATATATTTCTCAATTTAAAAGGAAATTAAGAAATAATATTCCTACATTAATTATTTTGGATACAGTTAGTTCAAGCTGTCATACATTCTTAATAAAACATTTCTTGGTAGCCAGTCTTGTGCTCGTTGTACCCAACTTTCCAATAAATTATTAGCAATTACTAGCATCACCACAAACAACCCATTTAAAACATAATCTTATGATGCACAATGGCTAATATTCTATGCTTAAGCCATATAACAAAATTATATATAGAAAAATTGCAGTAACATCACTACTAAATTTATAGTGGTCGTTAATTGGAGGGAACATATTCTGTTGGTTCCAGTGGTCTTTATTTGGAGGGAAGACATGTATTCAACCGGGGCCGCAGAAAAGTGTTCTTAATTGGAAGGGTCTTTAATTCGAGGGATTGGAGACCTGTTTTAGGAAAATTTCATGTGATTCCGTCTATCTAAATCATCATTTATACCGCTATTTTTAGATGATTTATCGCGCCAAGAAGAGAGTGTCGTATACACAATGTAAAAACAAAAAAGTGAAAGTCTTTTTGGTTCCGGTTCTGATATTAGTAATACAACACAAAATTTTGTTTCGAAACTAAATACCTTAATAATAAATTGTTGGCATAGTTTAGGGATGTTTTGCATAAATGTGGTATATCTACTACCGTATTTTAATTATCGTATAACAAAATTAATTTTTGAAATTCCATAGTTATTTTTTTTAAATGTTTTTAATATTTTTGCTGTAATTTTTCCTTGAAAATAATAAAATACA